TTCAAGGTAAAAAAAATTCATAGCAACAGCATTTTACTAATGAGAGATAGAATGAGTTCGAAATTTCGATTTTGAAAGGTAAGCGGTCTAGCAAGAGATAATCGGAAATTTCGAGTTCGAAATTTTGATTTTAAAGGTAAGAGGTCTGGCAAGAGAAAATTGAAACGGTAATCTGTTTTTTGGAAGTTGAAAAAAAAGTCGGAAATAGAAATTCCGACCGAATCTTCTAGTGAGGGCCAGAGTTGTTTTTAAATTTCGATTTTCTAGGCATTTCTTTCAATTTTGGTTTTTTTGTTTATATTTTCAATTTTTGGAATTTTCCAAAACTTTATTTCTAAAAAAAGAGGAAGTTTGGCTTTTGATCGTCTAAAATCCCAAAAAAATTTCCACTCTTGATTCTAAACTTTTCTTGGGGACTTGATCTTCGGGTGATCTTGATCCTGGTTGGCCTTGATCTTGGTCTTGGTGTAAAGTCTTGGTCTCGACTTCTTTTGCTTTCGAAAAATATAACACTAAAGGCTGAAAAACTAAAGAGAAGAGCGAATGATGTCAGACATAGCAAAAAGGGACAAATAGTAAGTTAAGATTGATAAAGGTATCATGGCTTTTGCGTCGAGCGCATTTGTGCCTAAATTATGATTAGAAATACCTATATGAATAACTATAGCCGGACCTCAATATAGTGTAAAACTAAGGTTTTATACTGAACCTCTTAAGGCAGCATGGATGTTGTTAGACTAATTTTTGAATCCGATTTATTCCGTTTGCATTTTTAAAGAAAATTGAAGCAAAATTGTTCAAACCTAAAGGATTCCCAATAAAACCTGTTTTAGAGGCTTCTATTAGATAGGAGGCTTATATTTTGATTCTACGTATCCACTGGATTTAATTTTTCAATTTTCAACCTTGAAGACGATTCAATCTTTTAATTTTAAACAGAATTTTCTTTTATGCTATGCCTTTATCTTCTCCAAAAAAATACGAAACAAATTTAAATACCCTAAATCCTCTATTATAATACCACCCTATTTTCAAAGTATGTATATGTCACCGTCCAAATTACATTCTTGTCCAAATTGAATTTGGCCGGCCGAATTCAATTTGGCCGGCCAAATTCAATTTGGACAAGAATGTAATTTGGACGGTGACATATATACATATGTAGTTAAAAAGCAAGTAGAAGGATACCAAGAATGAGCGCAAGAGACAATCTCAAAAACGCAATGCGCTCACCCCTGATGGACACCAGAAAATTTCTCCTCTGAAAATAAAAATTTCTGTGAAATTTTTATTTGTCAGCTAGGGTGTGGCATTCTACTTATAATAGAGGACTTCAAAAGTGTGTTAAATATAATTTTTTTCTCAATAACTCTATAAAAGTATCTTTTCTCTTCAATTCTCTCAAAATTTCATCCTCATTTATCGCCATATCCTCTCTCAATTATCACCTCCTCTTCCTCGACTTCCTCCATTTCCACCTCCATTTCCACCTCCATTTCCTCTTGTTCCTCGATTGCGACGGCCTCGCTGAGCAACGCGTTGACCATTCCCACCATTTCCTCCGTTGCCATCATCTTCACGAGAACGACGTCTTCCACTGCTACTTTCAGCTTCACCGCTGCCTCCAGCTTCACCGCTGCTTCCAGCTTCTCCCGTTTGTCCACCAACGGGCGTTGCAGGTGGATTGTATTGGATGTAAAGCTAAATATGATAAATTTAACTAAAGAATATATTGGTAATCTCTTCTTTCATTACATTTCTGACGTTAATTCTGTATTTTTGGGGGGCATAAGGTCAGTATCAGTGGTTCTAATACGGAGATATGGATATTTATCGCCAAAGAGAAAGGCATGAAAAATTGACCCAAATGATACTTTTTGAGGCAAGGAAGAAATAATGGGAGGGTATGGAGGGGATAGACCAGTTAAGTATCCAAGTTGTCTGGACCAGGGGTGCCACGGATTGAGAAAAATGTTGGGTCGGGTAGGGCGTAGCGAAAAAAGTCCGGGATTCGAAAGTCCGGGGTTCGGGTAACCCTTGACATCGCTGGTCCCGTGACACCTCAAAAAATTCATTATCAATATGATACACTCTGTCCCATAATTATAAACGCAACCATATTTTTTTAATTTTACACTTGAAATCTAGCTATTTTTTCCGACTTTTCGTAATGATTGTACCTCTCGAACTTGTGGTGGGATTCTTGATATACCAATTTCCTCCAAGGCCGTTAATTCATGGTTATAAACCAAAGCATGATTGCTTATTTGATTAATCAATTGACCATTTATATAATATTGTTTAAGTCTATTTTGAAGATCCTCCTCACGTATTTCATCAACATATGGAGAATACAAGAGTTTGTATAAATCGTATGTATTTGGTCGTCTGTCTTGGATGCGATAAGGTTCAAAAGCCTCAAATTCTTCGCTGGTTATTTGCCGCGAACTTTGGGTTACTTAAGTTATTAATAATTTAGTACAAGTTAAAATTATCATATTGTAAAGCTCGTGTCGGGCTAACTCATGAGTGGTCGGTCATTCCTTGAATTAGCCCCCCATTCTTTGAAGATCATCCTCTCGTGATGATCTTCAATAATCACCAGTAAGGCTGGCGAGGCCCCCACTCGTAAGGCTGACGAAGTCTCATAGCTAATAAAGCGAAGATGGAAACCACAAGTCAGAAACGATGAAAACTCGTAGGTATTTAGGGGTATAATCAGTGATCGGAAACCCGTACCAAAAGCTCCTCCCGAAGCTCAAGCCAGGATTTTGAAATGCCTGAATCAGTAGATAAGATGTTAAAAGGGTCAGAGTCCAAGTCTAATTTATTAGATTACTTGGGTGTGTGTTAATAAGCGATACGTATCGCTGCATCTCTCCAAAATTATTTATGTTCTCATATTCCGTGTTGCATTGACAATTAACAGGATATGCTCCATCTGTCAACTCCAACTCGTCGCGTTGAAGATCTCTAACCAAACTTCCAATCCCTTAATTTTAAATTTAAAGACCACAGATTTATATAACTATATCACCCTGTATAGTATTGAAAGCTCTACTTGCCAACATATTATGCAGTTTGTTTGCAGTTATTTCATGTTCATCGAAAAAATAGACATAATCAACAATTGATAATTGAACTCTTAAATTTCAGAAAGTGAACTAAATTTTAATTGACATGAAATAGTAGTTACTGAATGGGATAGTAGCCTCGCGGGAGTTGATTAATCCATGTATATCACTTAGTGCAGCCCATGTTATAGGCCTATACATATTTGTTCTTAAATCCCGAGGCAGAAAGTTATTATATCCTTTAACACTCCCTCTCAAGTAAATTTGTGGTTAATTTAATTAAGAACGATATGAACAGGAAGAACCAACCAAATAAGGGAAACTGGAAGACCCCCTCCCACTTAAATCTGCATTATGAGTGGAACTACCTTTTCCGCTCATTCTTGTCATCATTTTTATAAAGAGGCGAACGTCGAAAAAGATCCATATATGCAGGTGAACAATCTCGGATTAATGACAAAATTAGTCTTCGTACTAAAACGAATAATTTGTAGTAAAGAAATAAATTTCTCTCTGGTTGTAAAATGTTAAGCAAAAATTCTTTAAGTTGTGTTAATTGTCTAGCACTAAATTGTTAATAAAATTATCTATTAAATTTTAATTTATACTTGATCAGAATAAGGAAAAAAATTAGCTAATAAGGGACGTGGGGTTATCGCTGAGGAACCGGACAAAAAAACGAGGGGGATTTCATATCGGTTCCCTATTTGTATGTAACAGGGGTGTGTAGGAGCTGATTTTAAGGTGTGCGAACATATCGGGACGGACATATCGGATTGGGGTGACAAAAATAATTTCTTGCGTGTTTAACTTTGTTCTAAGACTTAAAAACTCTATTCTTCAATAGGACAATATACTATCCAAGACCCAGTGGCCGTAGGTCCGAAATCAGTAGGATAACTGTTCGAATATCGAAATATCCCGATATGTTCGTCCCGATATATCCGCGTGCCGATTTTAAAATGGAAAAGGCGGAAATCGAAAAGGTACCCTTTAAGCTCGAAAGGGTACCCTTTAATTCAAAGGCCTCGGTTAAATTTGAGAGAAAAATTTCAAAAATTTTAAATTTAATTTATACAAATTTTACCGAATATTCCATAATGAAACAGGAATATTGTCCATATTTCGGTCAGCACCAAACTCATTTATAGCTAAGCCATAACCTTCAACAAATTCAATCCCTCCAACAATTTGTCTATAATCCTCGATTCTTTTATTAAGAAAACGAAGTTTTCCGTCTCTTCCCAAATTGTCATAATGGGTTTTTACAAGTCCTTCGTGAGTGTTAAGAACATTTGTGAAATAATCAAACACCTTTAAATATAACGGTTGAAAGTCGGCCATTTTTTCTTGTGGGGTTAACCTGATTACTGCGTTTAACCCAATAGCTTGATCAACGGTTGGTCGGAACTATCGGAAATCGGAATTCCGACCGACCTCTGCTTACGATCAATTACTATAATCGGTTCAGGTTGTCGTTGGTTTTCTTTAACCGAAAAATTTGGTGAAACCAACTATAGAAAGAGTTTGCTAAAGTTTATCCACCTGCGACCACCTGGGCCCGTACTATAAGAACGAGTCGTAGATTTGTTACTATAAGAATCTTGTCATTTGCCCAGGTCATTTAACCCTTACCGAGCGGTAATTTGGTACTATAAGAGGCTTGGTATTTTTTCTTCTGCTTACCACGAACCAAGTTCTTATAGTACCGACTAAAAATGAAAAATTATCTGTGATGTATTTTGACTTGAAAATACAAAAACAAATTGAAAATACATACTTGAAAATACAAAAAACCTGGCTTTTTAATAAGTCTTCCCCATAGAGATTTTCTGTTTAGAACCATTCGTCTAAATCGTTTTAATTGTACTTCACTCCTACTTAAATTGTCAGACTACTACTTAAATCAGACTCCCACCTTCACTCCTACTTAAATTTGGGTAGCTTTAAGGTATATACCTGTTGTATTTTATCTAGAAGACCATGCTCGCCGATTGGATCATTTCGAGGCAATCTAGCCCTATCTAGAGCTAATGCTCCTTCGAGAGCTAGTAAGATTTTTAAAGTTATTGGCACACCATTGATTTGTATATCATAAACATTGAAAGCATTTCCAGCTCTATTAGTTTCAGTTGAATCCAAAATTTTCATCAGAAAGGACAACTCAGTGAGAGAAAACGTGGGAGGATTGGCATGAACTTGTTGGGGTTGACCAGTTTGCATCACCCCTACATTTAAAATTAGGGAATAAAAAAACATTAAATTTACTAGGAGCCCTTCGCATTCCTTTGACAAGAAGAGGAGCAAATCCAACAAAAATCAAGACAAGAAGTGCCTTGAAAAATGTATTAAAATACATTTTAGTAAAGAATTTTATTCGGTTCGGAAAAAAATTTTTCTGAAAATTAAAAATTTTCTTATAAATTGCCCATCTTTATGAGCGTCCTGTAGCAAAGACAAACTATTTTCGAAATTTTCAAATCAAAATATTATTAGCTTTGGCGTATAGAAATTCTAAAAGTACCAGGGATGGGACCTCCCCCGCTTCCGTATTTCCGGGCTGAATCCGGAAATTTCCGGCAAATCGGAAAATTCAGTTCAATTGCTAATAATCCGGCTAAGTCCTCCTGACAGCCTACCAAATAAATCAAAAATGAAAACGGTCAGTATATGGTAGGATGGTTGATCGGTAAACAACCTTGCATAGGAGAGCTCTGAGGCAGTAATTGGAAATTTCATAATTGCTCATACTTGTACACCAAGCACAAGATGGAGTATTGAGATCTGTATTTTCAAAATCCTGGATCTGGATTTAGGTTAGTAACCTGGGCAAGATCCTTGATCCGAATCCAGGCCGATCTCTAGTCCAGGCCCATCTCTCGAATCCAGGCCGATCTCTCTATAAATACGAATTTTGGTATGAGCGTCCAAAAACACTGCTTTCAGGATCCGTTTATTAATTTTCCTTCGTTCTCCGTTCACCTCCGAATTTTAAAATACGGAATGACCCTTCCCTATTAAGTACATATAAATAGAGTCTTATAGGAAAGTCCGACTTTGAATTTTTAAATTTTAATTAAATAATAAAAAATATTTTTCCTAGGGCCTTGGAAAGTAAAATGTAAATTGGCTATAAAAATTGTCTATAAAATTAAAATTGGCTATATAAAATAAAAAATTGGCTATAAATAAAAATTAGCTATCGACTCCCCCAAGCTTTTCTTATATTCCCTTTTTGGGGAAGTAATTGTTAGACAATGCCTATTGTCTTAATTAAAATAAAATGCGTGGGTTTGTCTTAAATCTTGGCTTTAAGACATTAATTGAGAGAGGTCTGCCAAGCCAATGGCTTATAATAAATTGGAAAATGGTATTGAAATTTGGGAAAGAAAATAACGGCTACACGTGCAACTGCAGCCCCCCTCCAACGCGGACAATTCTGTAAATCCAGGAAGGTTGTTCCAAGGAATCCAGGAAGGTTGTTCCAAGGTTGTTCCAAGTTTTCAACAGTGAGAACAACTCGGGGAGGATTGTTCCAATTACTGGAATTCACATAACATTGCGGCAGATTTGTTCGCCGCGCTATATTGGGCGGCGGGCTGTTCCCTTAACAATAGTGTTTTACTAGTAGGTTGGGGTAGGTCAAAAAATCTTCGGAGAATCAAACTTTCGGGAATAGAAAGAGAAAAGTCGGAATAGGGCCGGGCGACTGGTAAAGTCGGAATAGGGCCAGGACCATTTCAAACTAGGGTTGCGCGAGGTCAAGGCCTCGCCGTGGAACGAACCTCGCCTCAAATTTGACCCTCGACCTCGATACATCGGTGATCCTCGGTCTCGGTTTTTTTCGAAAAACCTCGACCTCGCGCAACTCTATTTCAAACTCCTTTTTGCGTTTTTTTAAATTTTTGAATTTAATTTTTGCTCTAAAAATCACTTCCATTTTTGGGAAAAGTAAATTTTGGTGGAAGTGATTTTTGGGGGAAGTAATTTTTAGTGGAAGTAATCTTTGGGTAAGTAATTTTAGGGGGAAGTGATTTTTGGGGGAAGTAATTTTTAGACAATGCCTATTACTTAATTTAAAATAAAATGCGTGGGTCTGGCTTAAGACTTGGCTTTAATACATTAATGGAGGTCTGCCAAGTCTGTAAATTAAAATAAATTAAAAAATGGTATTGAAATTTGTGAAAGAAATTTTTAAAACCAAGTTGTTCCAATATCGGTGAGTGTTTCCAACAGTGAGAACAACTCTGGGAGGATTGTTCCAATTACAGAAATTCAAATTTTTAAAAATTAGTTGCGAGGTGAAGATTTTTTCTCAAGAACTTTTAAAACTTTCATAATTCCTTAAATGCCTCAATATCTCCAAAATCCTTCGATATTCCTTTTCCTTAAAAATCTATCAATACCAGTTAGATCCTTAAAATGGTGGATTTGTGAGACGAACTTGGATTAGATGGTGGATTTCCTTGGATCTTAAGGTGGATTTCCTTGGATCCAAAGAGATTAAGCCGGAAAACGGAAGATATTCAAATATCAATCAGGTAGATACCCAGCATTAAGAACCTTTAGAAGGTTAACAGGATCGTTTCTTGTAATTTACAAAAAATTTTTTAAATCGACCGAGTTTGCTTTATTAGCTAGAATGTGAGAAAACCTTGCTGTCCTTATTAATATAATTTATAAAATAAAATATTTTTTGAATAAATTTTATCTCAACAAAATATTTCTTGTGGTTTTAGATAGAGAGCTACTAGAAAATTTTTCTAATTTACTTGTCCTTTAGAGATGGACGAGGATTGGACTCTCATATGGAAAGGCTATTTGTTATCTTGTTCTTTAACACTTTTTAGAAGGTAAATTCTCGACACTAAGAATATTAGTCTAATAACGAATTAGTCTTTCCATTAGGGCTGAATGCAACCGAAAAAAATTTTTCCGCAGGCGCAATCCGCAATTTTAATTTCAAAATCCGCAGCCGCAATCCGCAAGTAAAAAAGCAATTTTATACAATCCGCAATTGGGTGCAGCCTCGCTTTCCAAACGAAAAAAAGTTCAAATTTTGGGGGAAATGGAAAAGAAGAAAATACAAAGAAGGATTAACAAGTTTGGTTTTAGAGGGAAAATAGGATAGATTGATAATAGGATTGGCTGTTAAATCTCTGGATATCGAATCGCCTACCCTATTTGATAAATTAAAATATTTTTATAAAAATATAGAAAGCTGGAAAAGCCTTAAAAAAGTGTAAAAGACAAAAAATATTCTGCCTCAATTAGAGTTTGAACTTGAAAAAACCCGGGACATTGTCCGGGACCCTGTATTTCTTCCATTGAATCGAACTAAAACATCCAGTTTTCTGGACAAAACTCCGAAAACCACAGGAACCCAATAAAACTCGAATTTTATCACATCCGGTCTCGACCCATGTTCAAACTCCAGTCACAATAATAAAAATGATGGAAAATTGCTTTCTAGAAATTTTTTAGAAAAAATTTTCAAAAACTACTAACTAAAAATAATCATAAAATACGAAAATAATCATAAAATTTATATCTTCTTCCCGTTCCATTTCCCGTTCCCGCAATTTACTACTCGGTCTTTGCAATTTAATTGGCCTATTCTAGATCTTTTTAAATTTTCTAGTATCCAGATTCATTTGGAGTAGGTCTTTACCATAAAATCTATGGGAAATGGAGAAGGGTGAATACAGAAGGCTATTTAAGATGACAGATTTTAGAAACTAGGAATGTTGGCGGTAGGTTAACCGAACTGAAAACCGGTGTTTTTGGCGAAAAAACCGAAACCGAAAACCAGGGGTTAAAAAACCGGTCAAAACAAAAAGCCGAGGGTACCGGTTTTTAACCGGTCGTCAACAACCCTATTAGAAACCCTATGTATCTGACAGATTGAATAATTTACCTTAAATGTTCCAATAGAAGCCTGGGCGTCTATTTTTCAACATTCATCCGAATCGCTTTATATTCAATTTTAACCATTAGAATTTCGTTAACAATACTTTTAGTCGACTAAAACAAAAGTACTAGAAAGCTATGCGTTCATAAAACAGATGGGTTTCTTATAGGGCATGGGCTTCTATTGGAGCCGGGCTTCAATTAGAACATTTACGTTATGTAAAAATATGAAAGAGTTTTAACAAAATAAAAAGGATTTGAATTGTTTGTCATAAAAATTTATCTAATCTAAATAATATCAAAAAATTCAAACGGGTAGGGATTGTTTTAGCTCGGCCATAAAGACTCGGCTCATTAAAATCACAAATTGCTCAATCATCATTGCCAAATTGCTCAATCCTTCAATTTTATATTTTTAAATTTTAAATTTTACGGGGCATTTTTTCGGGCTGGATAGTGTATTTTAAATAAAGGCCCAACTTAAAAAACATAATTAACTTGGTGTATGCAAGGCGTCGAAGTCAGATCCGGCCTGATTTTTCCGGGGTTCAGGTCTATAATCTTGGGTTTTTGAACCAGATTAATCATGAAAATGTGAAAAATCCGGAATAAGGTTGGCAATTCCAGATATCCGAAGCCTGATATGCGAAAATTTCCGGTTTGGATAGCAATTCCGGTTCAGGAAATACGGAAATTTCCAAAGAACCTCCAACCTTAATCCGGAATCCGACTCCAACATATCTGTAATTTTGGGTTTGGGATTAGGTCGGGGTTTAGGATTTCCCTTTTTCTTGTGTTGCGAAAATCCAGAATCCTTTCCAATTCGGAAAATTTAATCTTGGGTGTATCTAAAATTGAGGTTTTTGGCTCTTACGTTTCTTCCAAATTGTCTTTATCTGTATACACTGAGTATAAAGAATTTGGCTTTGTTGAAGAATTCTTAAATTTGTCATCAAGCGTTAAAAGTCCTCTAATAAAACTATCCATATCATAATCTTGTTCAACATAATGATTTAAAGTATCATTATTTAAATTAACGCCAACAATCCATAATTTACAGGAGATTAATCCATCTCTTTAAAAATTATTTTTGAATATTTATAGTTACATTCGTACCCCTTCCCCCTCCTTCTCTGATTTTTTCTTTCGGATTTTATTAAGATTTTCAATATAAAATAAGGTAAATATTAGAGACGTCGAGGCCGAAAAATTTTCCTAGTCTCAAGAACCAGACTTCACCCCAAGACCAATACCAGACCCAAGAAAAGTGCTGGAATCAAGACTTAAGACCAAGAGTTTCGGACGTCTCTAGTAAATATAGAAAGAAAAGGAAGCCTATTTTTTAAAAATAAATATCCTTTAAACCTTGTAGTATTGAGACATTTAACATTTTTATCATAATTTGGTATTAAATGACTTGC